TGCATCTGGCAGTTCTCTGTTGACATATTGTTCCAAACCTTTTTGGATAATTTTCAGCAGAATCTTGCTTGCATGTGATATTAATGATATTGTTCGATAATTTCCACACTCTGTTGGGTCACCTTTCTTTGGAATGGGCAAAGATCGATTTTCTCCTTTATCCTCTTATTATTCTAATTTTGTAGCATTATGGTCTGAGAAAATATACTTTGTATTATTTGTTTTTTAATTTATTGATGCTTGTCTTATGAACTAAAATGTGATCTATTCTGGGTAATATTCCATGCACATTGGATAAAAGGTATACTGTGCTTTTTTAGGGTGCATTAGCATATAAATATCTATGAGGTCGAGTTGGTTTGTTGTGTGATTTAATTCTTGAGCATCTTTGTTGAGTTTTTTCCTGGTAGTTCTATCTTTTCTTGAAAGGGATGCATTGAAGTCTCCAACTACTATAGTAGTATTGTCTGTTTCCTTTTCCAGTTTTGTTATTGTTTGTTTTATATATTTTGCAGGTGTTTCATTTGATGCATCGATGTTTATTATTGTTATGTCCTCTTGTTCTATTGACCCTTTCAGCATTATGTAGTGACCTTCGTTGTCTTTTGTTTCTGCATTGAAATTTATTTTACTAGCGATTAATTAATACTGCTATTTGTGCTTTTTTCTGGTTGCTATTTGCTGGATATATTTTTTCCCATCCTTTTATTTTTAGTCTTTCTTTATCTTAATTTTTCAGGTTTGTCTCTTATAGACATCTTATTGATGGATTTTGGTTTTTTATCCAAATTGCTACTCTTCTTTTGTTCATTGGTGCATCCAAACCATTCACTTTCAGTTTGATTATTGAAAGGAAGAGTTTTATTGCTATCATTTTTTTAAGTTCTTTTCAGTGTTGTTACTACTTACTTTGCTCCATGCTGCTTTCTGTGGTACCTCTGTAAGAAGGACATCTCTCAGTATTCCCTGCAACGCTGGACTTGTTTTTACAAACATGTTTTTTTTTAAATATATTGATCTCTCCTTCATATATGATGGATAGTTTTGCTGGGTACAGTATTCTTAATTGACAATTGTGTTCTTTGAGTGATATATGTCCTTCCACTGTCTTCTTGCTTGCATGGTTTCTGCTGAGACAGAGGCACTGAGTCTTATCTGCTCTCAGAATTCTCTCCTTATCTTTCATTCTGGCAAATTTTTTTTTTTTCATTCTGGCAAATTTAATGATGCCTTGGTGTTTTTCTTTTGGGGTCTATTCTATATGGTGTTTGCTCAGTTTCTTGCATATATATTCTCTCATTCCTCATTATGCGTGGGAAGGTTTCCTCTAGTAATTCTTCCGCAACTCTTTCCTTTGCTTTACTTGCTTCTACCTGTTCTGGGATTCCAGTGATGCACATGTTATTTCTCTTGATGGTTTTCCACATTATTCTTAGGTTTTCTTTTTCTTTCCTTTTTGATTCTTCTTTTCCCTCTAGCAGATCGGTGGTGACAATTTTATCTTCGATTTCACTGATTCTGTGTTCCATCTCATCAACTCTGCTCATGTGTCCCTCTGTCATGTTGACAGCATCTGAAACATTGGACCTCATACTTTGGATCATGATTCTTGTATTTCCAGTGCCGCTAATGCCTCTTTTGCTTTATCTGCATTGTTCTGGATTGTTTTTATGAGCTCCTCCTGGTTTTTGCTTGCAGTATCCTGTCGTTATTCCAGTTTGTCTTTCATCCATTGAAAATATTCAGACATTGTTCTTTTAAATTCCTTGTCAGAACGTCCCATCACACTTTCTGGCTTCAGGAAATCCATTGATACTGTGTCACATTTTGGGGTTAACATATTGCTTTGTGCTTGTGTAGTGTGTGCGATAGCTTGCTTTCTTCTAGACAGTGATATGTTCTTGATCTGAAGACAGTGGTCTGGAAATCAGTTGGGTAGTTACCCCACTTGTGTGTTCCTCTGATCTTCAGACTCAAGGGAAAGTTCAGTTCAGAGCCTCTGAGAGCAGCTTCTTGTAGGTAAGTCTGATCAAGGTGTTCTGGATTGAAGAGAAGTTGATAGACTGGATGTGTAGGCACAGGTGTGGATCCCATTGGGGATGAAGCCAGCACGGGGTGGGGGGGAGTGACCACAGTGACAGGTCAAGTACTTGCAGGACCTCCTCACTCAGACCTCAGCTTTCTGCGTGTGCTCAGGATTGGGGTCTGTAATTAAATTCCAGCTGTCCATCTCCCCCCAAGCAGCTCTCACTCAGTGGTCCATGTCCAGCAGCCCTTACCTAGGTTCTCTCGCACAGTGACCCCTGATCCAGCAATGCCCTGGGTCCATTTGTACCTGAGAAGACTCAAATTCCCACTGCCCCACTTGATTCTGGACGGTCTGCAGTGTCCACGAAAGTTCAGTCAAATTCCCACCTGCCTGAGCACTCTTGGACCCTCTCTCAGGCAGTTGATTGTGCCCAAGAAAACTCAGATTAATTCCCACCGTCCTGCCTGTTCCTGGGCATTCTGCGTGGCAGAAGAGAACTCCAATTCCTTTCAGTGGGCTCACTCTTCGGTGATCTCCCAGGCAATCAGCCATGCTCAAGCAATCTCGGTCAGATTTCTGCTGGCCTGACCAATCGTGGGTGGTCCACAGGGGCACAAGAAACCTCAGTCAAATTCCAACAGACTGACTTGCTCGTAGTGATGGTTAGAACTCATTCAATTTCCCGTTAACCTTTCTCCTGTCGGATGAGTCCCACAGCTGTTCAGCTGGCAGCTTCCGGCTTTTGCTGGGCCTGCAGCATGGCCCATGGTGTGCTTCTATGTTCCTGTAGCTCCAAAACTAATTGTTGCAACAGAAGTCCTGATTCAAATTCCTACTCTCCACGTCACGCTGTGTTGGTCGGTCTCTGTACGACATGAAGGTCTCTCTAGTGGCCTGTCTCGATGCAGCTTGCTGTTCCTCTGGCCCTTCACACTGTACTCTTTACTGCCGCCATCTTGGAATCTGGATCCACAATAAACAACCAGATGTATCTTGGATACCAGGCAATCTTCTTCGTAAAGTTCACAGTCTTAAAAAACTCATGGAGGCACGTGAACCATGGCCGGAAGTGAAGTGCACTGGCATTTTATTTTTGTAGTAAGAGTCCTGTCCCCAGGAAAAAGGAACCCAAGGACCTGGGCTGTGATAGTAATCTAATTCAGGCCACCATATCTGTGAAGTGACTGTGCTCCAAGAAAAGCAAATGATTGACTAACTGAATTGTCATTCTAAAAGGGCCAAAAGGCATAGAGGAAGACCCTAGGTATGAAGAGACTGCTTGGATATTAGGGAAACCAAATTAGATCAAACAAAGATGTAGAACCTAAAAAAATTCTTCAAGTTAGAAAGAAAGGTGAAGTCAGTTTTAAAAGAGTACATAGAGTTTTAAAGAAATGCTTAATCATACATCTTGTTATCTTATTTGATGTGGCTTTTGCCATTCTTAGCAAAACTGGGTTTTTAAAGAGATGGTTGAGATAAGTTTTGTAAGTGTGACATTGATAAAATAGTATTATAAAAAACTTAAGACTTTTAATAAATTATAATTAGTTACATTGTTTTTGTGTACCTTTGAGTCAGAACTGACCGTAGCTCACCTTCCAGTAGGTTTTCAGGGGTAGTTAATTACACCAGAGGAGATCACCTATCTTTTTCCTGTAGAGCAGCTGGTGGATTTGGTTGCCATTGCAGTTCTTTACCATTAGGCCGGATCTCTAAAAATAGATGTTCCTTTTTAAACTATAACTACTTCATGTTAGTTTTTCCTATTTCTTTTTCAGCATTAAAGTATCAGCTGGAATCACTTTGCATTCAAAAAGCACATCTACGCAAGGACTTGATACTTGATTTGCAAAGCAGCAATGTCATCTAAGGAACAAGGACTCTTGTGTTATAATGGGGAAGTCCTTATCTTTCAGTTGTGCCAAGGAAAAGTTATTGATGAACTGGCTACAAAAACACCCACATTACATGTCAGAAGAATGGTTTTTAACAAAGGAACAAGGGCATTTGATCAGAAGTCCACTGGATTTTTGAGCATGGAGGAAGATAATTCTAATTTTAAAATCTTTTATTGTAGCTGTGTGTCAGACTTCAAAACTGGACTTACCTTCCCTTATGTTATGATACAGAGCAGTGAGAATAATGTTTTTAAATATTTTGTACTATTGCTTCACAGTACCAATAAGTTCATAAAGCAGTTGAGTTTTCAACTAGACTATGAGTTGAAGGACAGTTTATGGGTCCTTAATGGTCCTTTAGTTTTATGGAGACACAGCAAATCAGTTTACTGCATCTCTCCAAAAACACGCAAGGTTGTTAGTGTGCCAGTTAAGTTTTCTTCTATTGTATGGGCAGGGGACATTGTAAATCTAGGGACTGTTTTATTGGGATGTACCCAGGAACCTTCAAAATCAAATTGTGTTGTTTCGGATGCCAAATTTTCTGTCTATTCTCTTGATAGTCAAGAAATGCTACCTGACACATACATTATCCCTCATGTTTATAGCAGTGTTATAACTTCTGTGCATGTATGTGCAACTAAGCTAGTCAATAACCAATTAAGAATATCTCTGATTGCCCTCACTCGAAAGAATCAGCTGATTTTATTCAAGAATGGTATTCCTGAGAGCGTGTGCCAACTTCCATTTGGAGATCCTTGTAGAGTTCAACCTATGGATGCATATGGAGGAGACTCCTTTTACATTGTATCCTTCAGGTCCAATGATGCTTGCGCTGTTTGGAAAAAGAACTTTCAGGTACAGTGCTTATCATGATTGAATTGATGTAATTATAAGACTAAGACCTTTAAGCATTGCTCCTCTCCATAAAATTCATCTTGATGTCTTGTCATAAAAAAACAAAACAAAACAGTTTTTGGTTCTTTAAAAGGAAAAACCTATACATTAAGTAGTTCTGTTTTCTTAAATTTTGATTACATTACTACCTGATAATTATTTTGCCATATTGAATCTTAAAGCCTTTGAGTAATTTAGAAATATGTAATTATATAACTGTAATTATTATATTTGTTTTTTAATATAAATATTTCTAGATTTTTATTCAAGTGATAGTAATTAGATGCCTGGTTTTGCTTTACCTGTTGCGATCAAGTCATTTCTGAATCGGGTCAATCCCATGTGTTTCATAGTAAAACTGTGCTCTAAGGAGCCGTTAGGTGGAGTTTCACCTCCAACCTTTGATTAACAGCTGAGCATGTTAGCTGTTTGCACTGTCCCAGGACTATCTTTTCCACTTAAAATAAGATTATTAGTGCTGTGAATTCATAAACCTTCACAGAAAATTTAAATAATTCAGTTCAACTTATTAAAAGTTGTTAATTATCTATTTAAACTTCTCAGTTTCAGAAAATGAAATCTAGAGAAATTTCTTGAATTGTGTCATCGTCCTTCTGGAGATAATTGTTCTCCAAAATCAAGTTATATGTTAATTTTTGTAAGATCTGTCATTTGCAGACATGTGGGGTTTTTTGAAACTCAAATTGAGCTTTGAGCAAACATTTTCATCTTCCTATAGTCTTAATGCAAGGTTCAGAAATTGCTTTAAGATACTCACTGATAATGAATGTTCAATAACAGGTAAAAAGGCATGGAAATTGGAGTTGTCCCCACCAGTAATATTTGGCTTAAGATGTGTATTAGCTCATTTTGTGATGTGATCATAAATCAAGAAAAATAATCACTACTAGTAAAAAAGTCTGTTCCAATGATAGTTTGTTGTTGTATTGTTGTTAAGTGCTGTCAAGTCATAGATGTCTCATAGCGACCCTGTGAATGAAAGCCCTGAACACTTGTATAACTTTAATTATTTCTCCAAGTTCATAGAGTTTCCGGAGGTAAGCTATTTTGGAAGTGGATGCCACACCTGCTAACAAGCTTGTTTTAATCGGGGAGCTCCCCCAAACACTGTCCACCATGGGTGACCAATATTGCATTTGAAACATCGGTGTCACAGTGTTTAGCATCACAGCAACCACGAGTTACCTCTGTACAGCAAATCAACAAACAAGAGCTATACCACTTAGAAGAATGACAAAAAAACAATTAAAACCAGGCCTGAGGGCCACAGATTAAAATCACGCACCTTTGGCTTGGTAACATAACTTTCTGTCCACTAGGCCAACAGGGCTCTGTTGTCGTCATCGTTGTTGTTGTTAAGTGGTATAGAGTAATAATAGTTTAGCATGTTTAAATTTTTTCAAATCCTTATGCAACTTCAGATAAAAGACAAAACAAAGCACACCAATATTTTCTTGTATGTTCTCTAATAAAGAACGTAAGTATTCAAAAGGAAAATAATTGAAATGTTATCCTGTTCCATTTTACATCCAACAATATTGTACAAATTCATTTGCTTTTTCTTATGCTCCTTTGAAAGATAACATTTTCTGTCATTTTTACTTGCCTTTCCAAGGATTGGGAGGGGAAAAAAATGTGACAAAGCTTATAATCCTTACTAGGGCAAGAGTAGGAACAACACATTTCATCTTGAATTGAACACCTTGAATTCCCAGGTGGGTCATTTACTAGCGTTACCTTAAGGAATGTCAAAGTTCTTGTTGAAAGCATTTTCCTTCTTTAGGAAATTGTGAATTCTACCTCTGAGGGGTAGCATTAAAGAAAGTTACACAATCCCACAATAATTTAAAATTTATCTCAAGAATAGAGTTGATGTATTGAGCACTAATGACTATCAAGACTGGACAGGCGAGTTGTTTGATGACATCAAGGATATCATGCATGAAGAAAGCAAAAGGCCATTAAACAGGAAAGAAAGAAGGAGGGAAGGAAGGGAGGGAGGGAGGGAGGGAAATAGTTGTTAAAACAGATAATCTAAAACTTGCTTGTGGATGTATAATGTTGTTGTTGTTATGTGTCATTGAGTTGCCTGCGACCCAATGCGAACCTATGCACAGTAGCTTTGAACCTTTTCTTGTCCTGAGCTAGTCTCATTAATTCTGACACACCACCTCCCATTGCTCCAGTTACTGTGTAATAGCTAAGGCAAAAATAAATGATGTAATAAAATAGCTGATTATATAATTTCAAAGGACAGCTCAAGAAGACAAAGCAAAGAATAACAAACTGTGGAAAGACTTGGATTTAGAAAATGAAAAGGGCTTGTCATTTCTCAAGCTAAAATAATTAATGCTATACTGAATAATTCTGTGGGCAAACTATTGAATAGTGCAGGAAACATCAATAGAAGATGGACATAATACACAGTGAACCAAAAAGAATTTGTTAACAATGAAACATTTCTGGAAGTAGCATATGATCAAGAATCAATGATATTGAAAGAAATCTAAGTTGCAGTGAAGGTATTGGTGGGAAAAAAAAGGCTGCTGGAATTGATGGAATGCCATCAAATGTTGCAGTACTGGGAAGCATATGCTGGAAATCTGAATGAGAGTCAGCTGGAAGTGTTAGATTTTTGTGGTCATTCCAAAGCAAGAGAACTCCAAAATACCTGTGTTTTAGTCACTGTACAAAGACATCCTGTGTGTTTCATCTAAAGTTCATAACCCGTGATATGCAGATGACACATCCTGGTTTAGTGATAGTGAAGACTTGACCCACTAACTGATAAAGATCAAAGACAACAGCTTTTAGTATAAATTCTATCTCAGCAGACCATAAGCAACGTCTTCATAAAAGGAGAAAAGCAGATGCTGGACAGTGAATAAGGAAGACTAAAGAAGAATTCAGGTGTTTGAATTGTAGGGTGGTGGTGGTAGTGGTGGTGGTTAAGTGCCGTCAAGTCGCAGGAGACTCATAACAACCCTATGAAGGAGAGTCCTCAACGCTTGGGTGTCTTTTATCCTCCCTCCAGGTTCCTGGGGTTTCCGGAGGCAAGCTATTACAGAAGTGGATGCCACTCCTGCTTTCAAGCTTGTTTTAATCGGGGAGCTCCACCCCACTCTGTCCTCATTGGGTAACCAACCATTAGCACATTTGACACATCAGTGTCACAGAAAAATATTTAATATGCCATGGACTTGCAGAACAACTAACAGATGTGTTTTAAAAGAAGTACAGCCAGAATACCTCTTAGAAGGGACTGTGGTGAGAATTCACCTCACATATTTTGGGGTTGTTTTCAGTAGAGACCAGTCCCAGGAAAATGATTTGATAGAGTGTCATCAAAAAAGGGAAATACTCTCAAAGAGATGGATTTACATAGTGGCTGAAACACTAACATGGGAAGGATGGTGAAGATGACACAGTATCTACAAGTGTTTCTCTTTATATAGGGTCACTATGTATTTGGACCTGACTCCTCAGTATCTAGCAACAAGACTCTGGAGGCACACTCGGTTATCTGTCGATAATTGTTTCAGAACACCTCAATAAGTGTGCCAGTCTAGGAATTTTTTGGCAGGGGGTAGCAACGTGTCTTCATCTTTTACACTTGCATACTTAAAAAGTTAGGTATAGTTTATGGTAAAATAGTCGATTACATTAAAAGCAGGAAAATAAAGGCCAAGGATTTAGAAATAAAGGAGGAGGATCATAATGTCACAAAACCTAGGTTAAAGGAAATAATTTTATGTGAACAATTTAGCAGTTACTATAATAAATACATAATCATTTCACATTTCAAAGTTCAAGGAAACTTTTGCAACATTGAGCCTGAGACATATTCTGAGAGATTTTGAATAAGAAAAAGAATATGTAAAATGACATCTTGGAAAAAAAATGACATCTTGGGAAAAAAAAATGACATCTTGGAAAAGCTGTTTTATCCTTAAAGGAGACCAAGTAACAGAAGCAGTCATCTTTTTCCTATTTTAATACATAAAGGAATTAAGGCAGTTTCTAAAAATAGATAGAAAGCACCCAACCGTTGGTTAATTACAGGTAGGAAATCAAGCTTAGTGTGATCTCCTATTTGTCCTTCATAAATGGCCCCAGTGCAGTACTATACATAAGACAGATTTAATTGTACCCAGAATATATGATTAGCTTTATCTTAGACTCACTCTTTTGAATTGAAATGGTCTCTTTAAGTCTTTTGACAAAAATTTATATAGTAAGCATTTAAAAATAGAGATTATTGTCATATATACCTGACACCTAACATTTAGTTTGTAGACATGGTGATACATTCTAGAGCCGTGCTATCTAATTTGGTAACTGTTAACCACATGTGACCTTAAATGTGTTATAGATGTCAAATAAACATACATACTAGATTTAAAAGACTTGTTATTAAAAAAAGTATCTCAATGTTTCATTGGTTACATTGAAAATGGAAAATGATGGTATTTTGGATATATTGGGTTTAATAAAATATACTACTAAATGAATTTTACCTATTTCCTTTTACTACTATTAGGGAATTTTCTTTTACTTAATCCTAGAAATTTTAAAATTATATATGTGGCTGACCTGTATATGTATCACACAGCATTGTTCTAGATGGCAAATGTGTGGGCATGCATACACAACTCTATGATTTTTATTTACATGCCCAGGACTTCTTATTACTAATGTGTGTACATTACAGTCCATGATCCTCTTTGGTCAGGTGAATTGGGGATGCATTGTAAACAAATAAGCTACCTCTCTGTTGAAAAATCAGTGTTTTGGAAACTTCTAGGGGTGAGATTGATACTTAGTTATGTAAACAGAAGAGCAGTTGCTTCTCTTCTTGCTCTAATGTAATGCTGTAACTGTACTGTATGTTAGGATTCTGAAGCTTTTCTGCCTCAGGGAGAAGGGAGATCTAGAGCCTTTCCGCTTTGTGAATTTTTAAAAAGACATTTTCTTCTATTTTAAACTTGTAGTCTGATGTTCTTGTGTGAACTGACCCAATTATTTCATTAGACTGGGAGCATTATTCTAGGTTACCCAATTTTAGAGTCTATACCCTTTTATGTTTGGTGGCCTGGAAGTAAGAAGCAGCACTGTCAACCCAAAGGCATGCAGTTCAAATCTACCAGTTGCTCTGTGGGAGAAAGTTGGGCAGTCTCCTCCCATGCAATTTGCTGCCTCTGAAAACCTGCTGTAGGATTGGCTATTGGTCAGTTGTGACTATAGTACTTAACAACAACGAAGATCCTACAGTAGTTAATAGTAACACACCATGCTTTTCCTTGCCAGTGTTTAGATTATTAAGTTCTTTTTTTATTCTGCTTCAAGAATGTTTAAAATCTGTCTTTTGGTACCTTCTGATTGTTGTTGTTGTTGTTATATCCCATCAAGTCGTAGATGACTCATAGCGACCTTAAGAAAAAAAGATCTGATTACTTGTATAACTCTTTCATCGTTACTCCAAGTACTTAGAGTTTCCAGAAGCAAGCTATTTTGGAAGTGATGTCACTCCTGCTTCCGAGCCTGTTTTATTACGGAGGCTCTACCAAATACTGTCCAACATAAGTAACTATTACCGCATTTGAAACTTCAGTGTCACAGTGTTTAGCACCACAGCAACCACGCTTACCTCTGTACAACAAATGGACTGACCAGTGCTGTACCACTTATAAGAATGTTCGACCAGAAATAATTAAAACCAGGCCTGAGGGCCACAGATTAAAATCACTCAATGAGACTTGATTCTTTGGCCAGTTTTTGATCATTAGTGTCTATCTGCTAACACTTGTGGGAGTGAGAGTCATCTTTATTATAGATGATAAAATTTCCAGGATTTAGGGGTAAGAAGTACTAGAATTCAAACTAGATTGCAATAAATGCTTATGTTGAAATAAGGAACATACCAGTCATTGATAACATATTTTGTTATTGATACAACATTAAATCCAACTGCCATAAAGTTATTATAACTCCTTCTGCTTATCCCTCAATATCTTTATTTTTTTTATTAACTTTTGATGTCTACCAGTTTCATTACTTATTTGTAAGATTTAGGATAACAAATTGTAGTCACTTGAAACAAGAAGACTTAGTTTTTTACATCTGATTTATTTTCTTCTGTATTTTTCTCTTAACTCTCCCTTTAGGTTGCAATGAAGTGGGAAAAAATTATGTCACTACTGATTGATGACTTTATTGGAACTGGGACTGAACAGGTATTGCTACTTTCCAAGAGCTCCTTAAACTCAGATTGCCTGGCTTCGTTTAAAATGACAAATCTCGCCAACATAAACTATTCAGTAAGTTCTGTTTACTTTATATACTTTAAGAAACTTTTTAGAAAAGAAAAAGAAAAGAAGCATTTTAGAAAATTTAACTGCTTAAAAGCTTTATTTAGGAAAATTTTTTATTTTAATTGCAGCTTTAGCAAAAGTTTACAGAAAAGTTCTTTTTTAAGTAATTCAACTCTCTTGTTTTTTTAAATATTCATTCATTGTTGCACAGTTACCTCCTCCCCAGTCTTCTTTGTAATATACCTCTTTTTCTGAGCTACTGTTGTACATATAATGCCTAATCATCCATTCCTTTTAAATAGTTCCTTGTTTAAAAGCTTTTGAGGCACCATTTGAGTATTTGTGTTTTTATACACAGATTTTTGAATTTTAAGGATGCAGAGCTTGGATCTTTTAAAGAGGTACATTTCACTTCCTTTCAACATATGTTAAACACATTGGCTTTATGCCCCTGATGGTAAATTTGAAATACATCTGGTGGTCTCTAAAGGGACACTTAATATTGAAAGTTAACTTTATTGTTATTTCTGAATATAAGCCAATAAGCATGATAATATTGAGTTACATTATGGAATAAACTGAAGTGAAACTACCTTATTGAAGAAGTTGTCATTGATAAAGTCTTGAGGTAATATGCATAAAGGATATCATAACTCTAAAGTTTCAGACATATAAAAGATTCTTTCTGAACCTCATTTTTTAAAAAATTTGTAAAATGAAGATAAATCTTACTTTTAGCTCACTGTAATTTTGTGAAAATCCAGTTACCTGATACTTTATAATGCACTATTCAAACATTAGGTGGTAATATTAGTCATAGTAATTTGTTTCTAGGTAAAGGAAGATAATGAGAAAAAGATACATGTAATTTTCCTTTTGTAAAATAGCATACAACCTGGAAAATTGCTCTGTGAGTGGAAAAACTTGTATAATCTTAATCTTCTAAAGTTTCAGTTTGATACTTGTTTGAAGTTTTTTATTTGTTTATTAGAGTGATACGTTGGATTGCAATGAAGATAGTTTAATTGATGATAGCAAGAAGGATTCTCATTCTTTGGTGATTCTAGCTCTGGAAAGAAGATTGAAGGTTAGTTTTGGTGCCAGATTTTTGCTCTTTTCTTTTTTCATAGTGCTATTATATATAGAGTAAAAGTTACTGAATGAAAAGTCTGTTACACAACTCAGTGATTGGAAAAAGAAATAGAATTGCAAAGACATTTTAAGTCTGTAGTGCCTATGTAAAAACTCTTGTGGCACTACTTATAAATGTATATCATTTAAAAATACCTTTTTGTAGTAAGATTGTATAGATTTAATAAGCTTCATAAGATAATAGACAAGAAACTCAATTTTGGAAGTATATTCTTTCAGGTCTGTAGCATTTCTATACCATAGGATTTCTTGTAAAGCAGCAGCATTCTAAAGATGAAGTTAACCACAAAGTAATTTCCCTGAGAAAGTTTTGAAGTTTTCCAAATGTAGAAAGGTAATGCACATTCACTGTACACTATTCAGACCATGCACAGAAATATTAAAAAAAGAAAATAACAATTACCTTTGATTGCCAACCTCTGTAACCAATTTTTACATTTTAATATGAATGTTCTTAAAGAATTATGAGCATATGCAAATTTACAGAGAAATGTGATTGTACAATGCATTTTTATTACATATAAAATTTTCACATATAGAGAAAATTTGTTTTCAATCTAACCCCTACTCCTACCTCTCTTTCTTATTTCCATTGAGTCAAAATCAACTCAGGACCGACCTCACATTGGGTTTTTCCATAACTATAAAGTGCATGGGAGGAAATTTGCTCATCTTTCTCACAAGGAGCCACTGGTAGATTCAGACTACCTGAAAATTTTACCTTTGGATTAGCAGCACATTTCCGTGCACACTGTGCCACCATAGCTCCCTTTTGGATTCATGGAAGTTTTTATGTTATATGTTCTTCTGCATGTGTAATGTTGTGGGTTTACTAAGTGAATTCTGACTCATAATTCTGGCCCATGTATGTACAGTGAAAAATGCTATGTAGAATAGTCAGGAAATAAGGAGATACATTGCAGTAGGAAAATCTTGGTTAGGGACCTTTTGAAATTATAGATGAGTAGTGAGGTTAGTTGAGGACTAAGGTGCATGTGATTCAAGCCAAAGTCTTTCCAATTATATGCTACGCATCTAAAAGCTGGACAATGAATAAGGATGATAGAAAAAGAATTGACGCCTTTGAGCTGTGGTATTGGAGAAGAGCACTGAACAGCCTATGGACAGCCAAGAGAATGAATACAAATGTGTTGGAGAGGGTGCAGCCATAGTTCTTTTTGGAGGAAAGAATGATGAGGCTTCGCCTCACATACTTTGAACATGTTTCTAGGAGGTGCTACTCCTTGGAGAGGGACATGATTTTGAGAAGGGTGGAGGGTTGGTGAAGGAAAGACTCTCAACCAGGTGGATTGACTCAGTGACTGCTGCAGTGGGCTCTTGTGTGTCAGAAAGTGTGAGGATGGTGCAGGACAAGACTGGGTTCAGATCCTTTGTTCATAGGGTAGCTATTAGTAGTACTTGACTCAGTGACACCTAACAACAACAAACAAGAGTTTTCAAGGCTTTGACCTTTCAGAAGCAGCTCAATAGACCCTCCTTTGAGGCATCTCATAGTGTGTTTGAACCACCAATCTTTCAGCAAGTGCTTGAGTGCTTAGCTATTTGCACCACCCAGGGACAATGAAAGGAACCACAAAATAAGACTTAGTGCCATGCAATATAGTGGTTTTTGGTTTGAGGTGGATGGGTGGAGTAGAGCACTGAACATCTGATGGACAGCCAAGAGAACGAATAGATATGTCTTAGAGAGGGTGCAGCCAACTTTGTAGAGAAGAAAAGGCAAATATTGCAAAACATAGCTCGTAGAAAAGTTATGGAAAGGTAAACCACCTGTTGTCTTTGCAAATTGTGACTAAGGATCCCAGATGTAATGGTGAAGTTGTTTTTCTTTTCTTAGAATTTACATATTTTACCACCTAACACTTCTTTTACTTCCGTAATTTTATAGTAAAAGTTTGCAACATAATTCCATTGACTAGTCTACTGATTTCATCTTTATTTTGAGGTAAGTGTTGTGATGAAGAGAGGAGGGGGAAAAGAATACCAGTGATGCTTTCAGAGGGTGCATTTTTAATCTGTCCACACATTTCTCTCTTTTACTACATACCCCTCTAGCAGCCTTGAATTACTCAGTGTGTGAGCGCTGGAATGTGAATGATGTAGAGTCCATAGAACTAGGTCAATGTATAAAATTTTAAAATGTTAGTTACACCCTTTACATACATTGTGCCGTGAAATAAGAGAGGTGGCGAATTCAGCCCACGACATCCATTCACTGATAACAAAAGACCCCAAAAGAATTTACCTGCTGCTTCCCTGAAAAAATTACATTTATAAGAGAGGAACCCAAAAGGAAATGCCTCTTTTGCTTTCCTGTCTAGAAAAACTTGTTAGATTACAAACTAGCTTAACACTTAAACAGTCTTAAGTTTCTAGCAGAAATGAAATCCTGAGGTTTCCAATAGTGTAATAATTCTGCAAGTAAACCAGTATAAAATTTAAAAAAAGAAAAAACTCAAAAACTGGCTCATGAGGGTTTTAGCTTTAGTGCTAAAATCTATTTATCTGGTATACTAAAAAAGAATGGATTACACAATGTTTCATTCAGTGTGAAAATACATTTTTATAGCAGTTAGGAGTCAATCTGAGTACTGGGGTTATTATTAGAAAAATGAATGTATGACTTTTTGGACTGTTGCACACTTGAAAGTTTTACTGCAAAGATGATTGTGAATAGAGGATTTAAAACCGTTTGAAACTAAAAGTGATCCTTTCTATTCAGGATGCTGTCTACTTTTGTGGATACCCTGTATTTGAAGCTGAACTTACTTCAGTAATAAGCAAAACAGTTTTCTTGTGGGCCTGGGAATGTGGGTAGGCGTTAGTTTTATTCATATTGATTCTAGTTACTTTTGTTTCAGTACTGCTGTAATAAACTGACATTCTCTCAATTTGACATGTATATTCTTTAGTGTAGTCATTTGATGTGTTCTTTCTCTTTCAAACAAAAAAAAAATACAGGTTTTCTTTTTTAATTAGAGACTTAAAATTTACAAATAAGACAGTTTTTCTTTAAGAAATGTTCTCTCTTTCACAGTACAAAAGTGAATTGGTAAGTAACAGAAAAAGTGCTTCATGAATGAATGGTATGACAGTTTCCATTTGAAATTTTCTGAGTGACTATTTTTTTCTCCTTTACAGACTGATTTGGCTTCTATTCACAATTTACAGCAGCATCTCTTGCTTAAGGAAAAAATTATTTTCAAATCTTGCCAAGCTTTAATAAACTTGGTTCAAGGGAAAACTGGTCCACCATCAAGTACAGAGGAGGTAAAGTTTGTCCTCTAAGCATTTTATTATTTTATGAGTTGAAAATTTGCAAGGTACTGAAGCATTATTTAAATTGAATGTATTAGAAAATGCTGCTGCTCAGAGGATATAGAAGAAAATTGGCAGGAATTATAATATATGACATCCAATTTATGACTTTGTAAAATATTTGATTAAGAAGCCAATATTTTACCAATTTGCACATGATTCTATCACATATTAAAGTGTCCATTTTCTGGAACCTGGAGAAAAGGAAAGACTTTTGTCTAAAAAAATTTACTGTTAAATAATTTTTCTTTATATGGATAGTATTAAAATCACTCCTAAATGAATTATGTATTTCCTGACTTTTTAAAATATACTGAGCATTATTTTACCAAGTATTGATGGTAATGTAATGCCATCATTTGTGTCCAGTTTTTCAGTCTGTTATAATGTTTACTTTAAGGATATTTATTCTTGTAATAAATGCTTTTAAATTGCTGTGCTCTTGTACCCCTATAACTCCTTTGTTATATTTTTGCTTTCTTTTTTTCTTGTGTTTGATGATTCGAAGAACTTCCTTAGGTGCCTTATAATTAGATCTACTAGTTCAGCAATTTTTAAAATAAGCAAAAACTGTTCAGACTTTTAAAAGTCTGTGTGTTAGTAAATGTAAGAAACCCTACTGGCACAGTGGTAATGCACTTGTCTGATAATCAAAAGGTCATTGGTTTGAACCCAGCAGTTGCTCTGTAGAAGAGAGAGATGTGGCTGTCCATTTCCATAAAGATTCCAGCCTTGGAACTGCTGTGGGGAAGTCCTATAGGGATCACTATGAGTCGACTGAATAGGCAGCAGGTTTTGAGTTTTTATGGAGATTAATAGCTCCATTCAGAGAACAAGAAAAGCTGGTGGGACAGATGGTTAATGTTGCTTTTAATTCTTTCAAGCCACTATGTGTTCAGCTCTGACTTCTTTTTAGATTGAGAAGTCATATAACAGTCTAGGCCTCCTGCTTATATTTAAGTTGAGCAATATGAAGGTTTTGGCCTAAACTATGTTAAAATATCACAAAAGTACATGGGACTGCTTTCTTATATTACTAATTCTAATTTCTTGAGAAACCTTACAAAAGGCATTTTTAAAGTATCCTCATTTTCCTTTTCCTACCCTAGTTTGTCCAGTATTTTTAGAAAAGGGAAGGAATGTTTAAAAATTCTTGAGTTGTAACTACTATGTGCAGCTCACCTTTGCATTGTTCCTTAATTAATTTTGAAAGCAACCTGGTAAGTAAAGAACATGTAATCTGGTTTCAGATGGGTAACTGGCATTAGACATCACAGCCACTGGCAGAAGTGAAGTGTTAGATTCTAAAAATATGTTTAGTCTGCTACACTGTAATGTGTATATATTTTTCTCAGTAATTACCACTAAGAGAACAGAATAATTAAGATTGTCCCTGGGCCCTGGAACAAGTCTGTTTCAATTCTAATCCCAGTTGTGCCACTTGCCGGCTGTGTGAAGTTGGACAAGTTTCCTAATCTCCCTGTGCCACATTCCTTATTGGAAAATGTAATTAGTAACAGTGCCAACCCAGAGTACTAGGATTATTGTGAATAACATCTAGAATAGTAACAAGCTTATAGTAAGCACTCAGCAGTTACTATATATTACTATCGTTGTTGTTGATTGCCTTTGAGTAGCACAACTCATATAGCAGCCCTGTGAACAAAAGGGCAGAAGCCCCTGTACAACCATTGACATTTATCAAAGTTCATAGAGTTTCTGGAGGAATGTTGTTTAGGAAGTGGATGCCTCTTTCTAAAGTCACTATAAATCCATATTGAGACTAAAATATCAGTAATCCATAAGCATTTCAAAGATAGTTTAAGCAGTTTTATTCATGTTATTCATTGTAAGTTGCTAGTCAAGTTTGATTATATTGTTTTTTATTTAGATAAACCTTGACATACCTGGGGTTATATACTGTCAATTTATTTTTAAAAGCGGACTCCAAGTTACTTCCCTACTGACTCTACTTTGGACATCCTGTCTTGTTTCCAATCATGTTTCTTGTTCTGAGATGTGTCTGTATTGGTTAATTATATAGAAGTTATATTTCAGTTGATAATATGATATATACATTAGATGTTACCTTTAAATGTCTAGGCTCTAGGATCTGTCCAAAAGCAGATTGCTGATTTCCATTTTTCTTTAGTTTTGCTGCATTCAGTACAATTTTTTTGTAATCAATTATTCATTTAAACATGTTTTTCAATAAGGCATGTCTTGTTCATTTTTGTGGAGAAAAAGAAAATCCTGTGTATACCTTTGATGATAAGTTACCAGACAATTTTAAAGATTCAGAACATCTAATAGAAAAGATATGGTATCGTGTAATGGATGATAGCTTGGTTGTTGGAGTGAAAACCACATCGTCTTTGCAAATGTAAGTAAAAGTTTTAATGATGAAATACAATAAAATAAAATGTAAGCTACATAAATATTCCTAATATGGAGTGCATGGGTGGCGCAAAGTACCTAGAAAGTTGGTAGTTCAAAGCCACATAGAAGAGCCTTGGCAGAAAGGCCTGACAGGCTTTTTGTGGAAGGTTACAGCCTTGAAATCCTATGGAACACAGTTGAACTTTGCACACATTGGATCACCATGAGTTGGAATCGCCTTGATATAACATCTGGTTTGGGTTTGTTTTTGGGTGGGTTTTGTTTTGTTTTGTTTAAATTAATACCCATGTTAAAAAATTTTTTTTTCAAACTGACATCTTTGTTCCTCAGTAATTTGGAGAGGTCCCTGGCAACAGACTTTCCCAATGTAATACTCCTAATCTCTTGATTGTTGGTCTAAGAAATATGAAATCATTGACAATTTCATTCTTTTCTCCATCTATCATGATGTTTCCTTTTGGTCCAATGGTCAGGACTTTTGTCTTCTTAATGTTGAGACTTAGATCTTCAGCAGCAAGCATTTCAAGTCCTCATCACTCTCAACGAGCAAGACTCTGTCATCTGCCTAACACAGGTTGTTGTTGATTCTTCCTCCTCTTGTGATGCCACATTTTTCTTCAGAGTTCCATTTTTCTTAATGTTAACCATAGTTTGTTATGACAGGACAAATGTCTTTGCAACTTTATTAGTGGATCCCAAATAATTTTTGAAATGAGGATTTCTTTGTTAGTGAATGTTTAAGCTTTTTTGATCTGGTCGATGAGGATATAGATTTTCTCGTTTCTTTCATATTAACTAATTGCAGTTATAAAACCGATCTTGCATTCATGAAGCTAAACCCAAAATTCTTCCAATATCTTTTTGTGTGCTGCTGGAGTAGATTTATTAACATTTGATATATTACTGGATCATGTGTGTCCTGAAAATTTAGACTTAGAAATGGGATCAGACTAAAGTTTGAATTTTTGGTTTAACAAGAATACTTGGTAGATAGTGTTTCAGTCTTCAATTGTGAAGAATTTAAGGTCTAATACTTTTGATTTTGTGATGTTAGCGTTGCCTAATTCCTTTGTTTCATTAGGATTGGCAAAATAATAAGACAATTCTCATCAATTACTTGTTGGTAGGTGCTTTTAAGCCTACACCTCCATAGTGATCCTGTATACTACAAACTTAGCCTCAGAAGAAGTTTGAAAGTTGGAAACCAGAATGTGAACACAAGAGAAGCTCGTTTCTTAATGGTGGTTATCTATAGGCTTTTTTTGTGGGCAGGGTTTGGAAATGTGTTTTTTGTTAAGAGATGAAACAGCACAGTTCATATTGATAACTTCTAGTTCACACTCTAGATTTCAGAGTTTTCACTTAAACTCACCAATCCTGTGTCTATCTCCTTTTCCACCATGGTGAAAATGTCATTTCTTAGTTGCACCAGCATAATTACTCATTTGCTTTATTCCCCTCTATATGTGCATTATTCTTGGAATAGCCGTACCAACAATTTAATTACTGAAAGTTACTTAACATTTCTTTGAGATTGATTTTGTTCTTAGATTCTAACCTCATATGTATGTACAGGGAATTTCCTAGATGCTAAGCTCCCCATTGTGGTTCTATCACTATTCTTTATCACCTATTTTTACTTGAAAAATTTTGGCAATGTTGGATTATATGTTTTAAAGCCCGCATCATATGTATAATTTGTTAGAAATACAAATCTGTAAAGAATTGCTGAGGGATAAACAATATTTTCCGTTCAAAAGCAGATTTACTGAAGTCATTTATTGGATTATCAAATACCATTTTTAGTTTAGGAGTGTTTGCATTCTAAACTCTTATCAAAATAGACTTTGTTGTTTTTAAAATAAGTTTATTTTCTCCTTGTTTAAGAGGAAAAAAAACCCCAACCAACCTTATCATAAAATCCAGATATTTTACTATTCTTATATATTAAAGAGAGCCATGGTTTTTGGTTTTTAGTTTAAATTGGAGTGTGAAAGGACTGGACGCAATGTGTGGATGGCCGAGTTTAACTTCTATTCAGGGAACTGTCTCCATCAATAATATCCATAGTATCGTATAAATAGCTGCATAGTCAGGCCTGCCACCCCACATGCTCCTGCACCTAAGATTTACTAATCATTGCGTCTGATGTTTGTAGCAAGACTTACAGACTTTTCCCACATTGTGAGGTTTATTAAGGAAATAGGTTGGAGAATGGAGGAGACAAAGAATATCTCACAATGCAAGTGCAGATTTAGTACAGAAGTCCCAAGTCAGATTAAAAACCCTCAATTCCTCAATTCGTGAAAGTCTAAGTACAATTCAACAGCATACATGCAAGAAGCCTCTGATTTCTTCAGTCATCCAGCAAACTTGACCTCAGAGCAGTTATAAGTTAGCTTTTCCTTCAATTATCCAGTAAACAGAATCTTTAACTGTGACCTTTATCTCCAGGGTTCCTCTGGTTACATCTTGCCAGTCACTTCAGCAACATGGTCGCCTCTCAGAGTGTGGAACGTGCTCTCTTACAGGTGTTGGTGATTTGCAAGATCATGTATATGGAGTTAGGGAGCTGGAGACCATCCCCTAATGGGGGCTAGCACAATGGCTAGAAAAGCCATTTTTTTCAAGTGTTCTGGCACCCCATAGAGAAATTACTTCCTTGGCTTGTCTATTTTAAGGGAAATGCTGTTAAAGGATCCTTAAAACGGAGAGATTTAGTCTTCATTTTCTGATATATTTTACATTCAAAATGTCTCCTAGGAAAAAAAGATCATGAAAATAATTCTTTGCTTTAATTGATATTTAATAATTTAGCTTAATGAACTTGTATACTATAACCAATCTCTCTGAATTACTTACAGATCTCTGAATGATATAACTCTATGGCTGTTACTGGATAAAGCTTATGGCTCCAGTGTTCTGCTAAAGTGTCAGAACAAAGTGATTAAGTTAAATAGAGATCCTTTGCCAGCATCAGCTTTTTTACCACCTGAAGGAGGATCAGAGGCAAAAAGGATCAAGTTGACCCTTCTTCGTGAAGACAAGAAAAGCTATTGTCAACAACCATCTAAAAAAGATTATATACAAACAATTACTGCTGTAACTCCTCTGTCACCACTTTTAGCACTCATTAATTTCTGTTGCATTGTGCTGCTGCAAATTAGGAAGAGAAACAATGGTAACTATTCAGAAGATCATTATATTCCTTGTGGCAGACTTCTTATAAGACTGGAGGATATTTCAATGGGGAAGTACCTAGTGACATTTCCAGAACCTAAATCTACAGGTAACTTGTGGTTGGCAGTTTTTAGTCATACGCTTAATTGAATCTGAAAATTTTAAGAAACAGAGATTAGATCTTCTGACATTTTTTTTCCCTCATAGAACACATAGAAGATATTTTTACACTTCTTTCAGCATTGGACAGATTTTGTTTTCACGTCACATCATCTGATCGTACCCTGACTTCAATGCAGACATGGTTCTTAAAATACATGCAATGTGAGGTAATCAAAGAATTTCCAGAAATCTGGTTCTCTAAAAAGCCAGGAAGTTTTTATGGGTCACTCTTCAACTGGAAACAAAGGACACCATGTGAAGGAATTTTAATAGTATATTGCAGGTAATGTACAACACAGTGGACTAAGTTCAGAGAACTTGGTGTGCATAGACGGGGCAAATGTGTAGTCCAGGAGTGACATCTATGATGATGTTGTTATGACTTCTGAATTATTTTGGCACTATTTTAGTCATTATCTAGGGTGACACAAAGGGATATTTTCCATCCTCATTTAGAAAATGAAGATATGTTTTTATTTTGTATTTGTTTTAAACTTTTTTTTTCTATTGAATAGGACCTAATAATTTCTTTTTTGCGATTTTTTTATTTTGAGATTTTAATGAAAGTTTATAGAGAAGTTGGATTTTCATTCATTCATTCATTGTTGCTTATTTTCCTCCCTACCCACCCCCGTCAGTTTAGTTTTCTCTTTGAGAAAAAATTCTTTCATTGTTACACAATATCCTGTGCCCCCTCCCCCCTCACTGGTCCACCTTGCTAAGCAGCTCTTATTCTGGACTGTTGTCATGCAACTAATACCTAATCACATATTCTTTTTAAACAGTTCTTTTCCTCATCTGTTTCAATGCAGTATACATTATTTATCCCTTCTTTTCTTAGTTTTTCCCGAACTCCCATGTCAGTGTTTTTTTATAACAGTGGCATTATGCAGTATTTGTCCTTTTATGACTGAGATTATTTCACCCAGCATAATGTCCTCCAGGGAGGGTCACCCATTTGGTATATTATTTTATGAGTTCCTTGTTTTTCAGTGCTGTGTGATATTCCATTGTGTGAATATACAGCTTCTCTATCCATTCATTTGTTGATGGGCACTTGGATGTTTCCATCTCTGCTGTTACGAACAACACACCAATAAACATAGGTGTGCACCTAATAATTGCCTCTTTCCTGTCCCATAAAATGAAATTTATTATTCAGAAGAAAAACATAATCTGAAAGAATCCTGGTTAATATTAACTGACTTGATAAAGAATATGTTTATTTTACGACACCTGTCTGAATTTTACCAATGATCATGTGTATTATTGGTTATATTCATTGTTAGAGTAATTTAAATTAATTTTAATTTATTGTTGTTGTTTTTGTGTGCAGTGGGGTCAGAACCAACTCATAGCTGACCATCGAGTGGGTTTTCAGTGGCAGTTAATAACATGGGAAGAGACTGCCTATTCTTCTCCTGCCGAGCAACTGGTGCTACATTATATTTTACATGACTGCTTAGTGCCATCCTGATATTTACAATATGGTCTTTCTTTTTTATTCCAGGAATCAAGCTGTTTTGTTCCAGTGTCTTCATTATCTCATTAGAGTTCTCCCAATAAACTGTTCCTTCAAAAAGCTAAGATCAGGAAGTGAGGATTTCTTAATTGATCGTTTGGCATTAACTTTGGAGGAGGAGCTGCGTACCATTACTAGTTATCTTTCTTCAGCCTTAGCTGAGATTGAAAGCAGCTTTTCCCAGCAGTATGAAGCAGACAGAAGTCAGAGCAATCCCATTGTGGCTTCTTTATCAGACAGGGAGGAAAGAATCCGCCAATACAGAAAAGAACTTCAGAGAGAAAAGAAGCAAATCACGTTGGCAATGAACCTAAAAGTGAGTGCCATTCTTTATAGAGAAATTAATTTGAAAATAGCTGAAGTTCAGCTGAAATCAAACTTAAACATACAGAAGTTGGCCAGTCTATAATTAAAATCTAAATTTTATTTTACTTTAAAATATATTTCCACTGCTAGCAAACTTTGGTTCCATTTGTTTTCATTTTATTTTATATGCCTCCTTTGTAAAAATAACAGTTGAGGCATTTTTGTAGTGAAACGTTGGTTTTGATAACCCAGGAAACAATATGCCTCAGATCAGTGGGCATTTCACAATGTCTAGACACTTTAGTTGTCAGGATGTGTGTGTGTGTGTGTGTGTGTGTGTGTGTGTGTGTGTGTGTAAGTAGGTGGAGCTCAGGAATGCAGCTAAACATCCTGCTGTGCATAAGACAGCCCCTTACAGTAGAGAAGTATCCTAGCCAAAGTGTCAGCAGTGCCAAGCTTGACAGAAGAGGTTAGAACAGTATTTTAGTATAACTCTTTTTTTAAGAAAGTAAGCACTTTTTATTGTATTCTGCTTAGTGGAACCTAATATATAAAAATCAACTTATAAAAATCAACTTCAAACAGAGAAATTAAGCTAGGATGATAGGATTTACAATATTTTCTGTAAACATCAAACTTCCATGGAAATTTAACTGGAAGAATGTTTGGGTAAGACCATTTAAGTAAAATACTTGAGGCCTTTGTTAACTCAAATTTTATTGGAAAGCTTCTCCGAAATCGTGTAAATCTATAGGAAAGTGATTCTTTGAAAATTTTAGGGCATTTCTCTGAAAATGATATTTCTTCCCAAAGGCTAAGCATATTTCATCATCTCTAATTGTTGGTTTGGAGTTATTCTTTTTTTCTTCTTACAGTTGAAAATGGTCTTAAAACCATTGGAAATTCCAACTCTAGGCAGAGCTAAAATATGAAATTCTAGCTAGAATAAGAGTATAGTACTCCTTAGGGATGGAGAGATTTAAATATGAGTGAAAATCTTCACTTAAGTGATTTATAAGGGTTTCTGTGAGAGACATTTCTTCAAAGACAAAAATTCAACACACTGTTTTCTTCTTTTTTGAAAGAATGAAAATTCTAGAATAGTAAGAATATGTCAGGAGAGAGAAAAAGACACAAAAGCATATAGGCCAAATGAAATGGTCTTGATCTTCTTGGCTCTGAAATCTAAAGTGATACAGAAATTTCCTCTTTATCTTGAGGCATTTGACAAAAGTCCACATGACTATATTAAGTTGCATCTTGTGCTGGCAGCAGTGAATTGTGAATTCTTCTCATGCCTTATAAGTGTGCCTGTTCCTAATGATCTGGTGATATAAATGGTTTGTAGAAATTATAAATTCTTCCCTCAGTTTTTAGGATTGTCCATAAAATAATATACTACTTCCTTTTTAGTAATTCACTACAAAATATGATACAATACTATAGCTTTATCAAAATATTTTGGACTTTTTGCAAATGGTAATCTTTTTGGAAACCTAGAGTTTTGTCTAGCTGGACAATGAGGAAAGGAATACTGGAGAAGAAGTGATGCATTTTAGTTATGGTGTTGGGAAAGTATTGAGTGCACCATGGACTGCCAGGGGAACAAACAGATCTGGTTTTGTAAAAATACTGTCAGAATTCTCCTTAGAAGGACGGTCAGACTTCATCTCATTTACTTTGGACACATAAAAAAAAATCCTTGGAGAAGGAAATCATGCTTAGTAAAATTAGAGGGCCAGTAACAACAGAAACTATATGTGTCATGTACTGTCAATTGAAATTATTTGACATGTTCTGAAAGAGTGCCCCCTGTAAAAATGAAATTATAAAATGGACTGTCAAAAGAAAACCCTAACCACAATTAATAGTAGTAATTGTTCTATAGGAAAGTTGTTAGGTACCTTGGAGTTGAAAATACATTGTTGTTGTTATGTGCTGCCAAGTTGCTTGCAACTCATAGCGACCCTATGTGTAACAGCCCTAAACTCTGTCCTGTGCCAATCACACTGTCTCCGACACACCCACCCTAATTATCCCAGTCACTGAATCAGTCCACCTCATAGAGGGCCTTCCTCTCCTGTGCTGTCCTCCACCCTCCCAAGCATGATGTCTCTCTCCAAGGACCGGTCCTTCCTTACAACATGTCCAAAGTGTGTCAGATGAAACCTCAGAATCCTTGCCTCCAAGGAGGTGCCTGGTTTAACTCTCTCCTGGGTGAACCTGTTTGTTTTCTTAGCAGTCCATGGTACATTCAGTACTCTTCTCCAGTACCACAGGTTAAGGCATCAGTTCTCCTTCTATTCTCCCTGATCATTGTCCGACTCTTTGATGCATAACAAGTGATAGCAAAGACCATGGCCTGTATCAGATGCACCTTAGTCTCCAGAGAGACACTATTGCTCTTCAGTACTTTGGAGAGGTCCTTAACAGCAGACTTTCCCATGGCAATACGTCTTTTAATTTCCTGGCTCCTGGTGCAGAGAGTGTTGACTGTGGAGCCAAGCAAACTAAAGCTGTGTACAATCTCAATCTCTTCAGCATCCATCCTGATGCTGCCAATTGGTCCAGTGGTGAGAATCTTTGTCTTCTTGATATTGAGCCAATCTTGACCCCACATTTCTCCTCATAGAGCCCAGCCTCCTGGATAATCTGTTCTGCATACAGGTTGAAAAGGTATTCCTATAAATGTAGTAAAATACATTAGGATTTTAAAAACTAGCACTTATGATTTATAAGTATGATAAAAGGTATTAATTTTTATGTGCCTAAACCCCTTTATAAATGGATCTTATATTCCAGTCTAGTTTGAAAAATATTATCTTGTTGTACAAAATGGTTCACCCCTTTTTTCAGTGATATTGATTGCATTCTTGAGGTTGTGCAAGTATTCCTACCTTCCTTTTCTGAATTACTTCTCTTCCACTGACATACTTCTTGCCCTTTAAGATTCATCTCTGATCCTTCTAGTTGCTGTTACCAATTTATCTCATATAGACAGTTTTTAAAAGACTATTATTATCATTTTCAAATCAGACCTTTTTTGCTAGTTAAGCTAAATAAATTATTGTTTAGTTTTAAGGAAGCTTCAATGTGTTCTTTTGGTTTAAGGTTTAAAGCTTCTGAGGACAGTAGTAGTTTCAGGGGTTCACTCAGGACTCCTCCTAAGTCTGGAGTACATGAGAATATGAAATTCTATTCTACATTTTCCCCCTTTTTAATAAAGTTTTCTCCTGTAAAATCCTTAATCAAAATGTTCACTAATGGTACCTGGCCAGCATCCAGTTTTTCATGGCAAAGGTAGCAGTTGTGTATGGAGTTAAGTAGCCACATATTCCTTGTCCTACTATTCCTGACTCTCATTTGCCCCAGATGTAGTGGTGTCAATTATTTTGTCTTGATCTTCTAGAACAAGTGCTTCAAGACCTCTTCATTTTCAGAAAGCAGGATTGTGTCATCTGATAACACAGGTTATTCACGAGTCTCCCTCCAATCCTTATGCCACATTCCTATTCAGAGTCCAGCTTCTTGAATAATTTGCTCAGCATACAGATTGAATAGGTACAGAGAGAGAATACAACTCTGATACACTCCTTTCCTAATTTTAATCCATAATACCTTGCTCTACACAACAGCCTCTTTGTTTATAGGTTTCACATGAGCATAACTAAGTGCTCTGGGTCTCCCATTTTTTTAAAATCTTAACCATTCTCACTTCTTGAGAGATTCTGGCAATTGTGATAAAAGCATTGCGGGGCTGTGGCACAGCTTCTGAAGACAGCCACAACCAAATGTGTTCTTGTGTGCTGTTAAGTCAGAATCAACCCATAACTGACCCTTCAGTTGATTTTCAGAGGCAGTTAATAGCACACAAGAGATTTCACATCCTTCTCCCGCGGAACAGCTGGTGAATTCGGACCATGTACGTGCCTTTGGGATTCCAGCATAGCTTCTTACCACTATGCTACCAAAGCTCCAATGTATTCTCTGTAACCTGCAAAATGTTAAGGCAGAGTGGCCATTTGATCAGTTTGGCCCAGAATGGGAGGTGGGATTGGTGGACAGAGTTGTCTGTTGTCTGTTTTTTCCTGAAGCTAGTGCCACCTGGAAGGGGAGAGAATTAGCCAGAAGGTATCAATAGTAGGGGGGTGGATCTTCAAGATTAGGAAAAGAGTTGAGGTTTCCAAGGCTCCTTATGACATGGCACATTGGATAATATTAATAGCTCACACATTTATTACCATGTGCCAGGCATATGCAACCATATTCAACTGCTTCCTTAGTTGTTAGCTTTTTAAATTTCTACTTAAGTCAATCAAGATAAAATAAAAGCAAAAAATCCAGTTCCTTGGTTGCACTGCATGTGGGCTAGTGGCCACCAGTTGGATAGTGTAGAATAGAACATTTCCGTAGGCTCCGAAAGTTCTGTTGGACAGTGCTGCCGTAAGATATGTACCATTAAGAGTTACATATGGATGGAGAACCTGAGACATGGGCAGTTTAAATAATACACCCAAGGTCTCAAATCCAGAACCTTTGCTGTTCTGCTTAGAACATAATTTCTTACTAATTAACCCTCTGACAGTTTCATATTAAAAATGCTCTGAATGTTTAAAAATGAAGAATTGAAAATTAGACATTAAAAGTATAAATGTGTCAGTATTTGCAATATTGAGATTGAGGAGGAATTCTAGCCATGCTGTTCTAAATCCCATAATAGGCAAGATCTTTGAGTTCATTCATGGCTTTCGCCATCAATTTTATCTCTGTCTACTTCCTTTCAAACCAGAAAACAAACTCATTCCCTTCAATTCTACTCTGACTCATAGTAACCCTTCGAGTTCCAAGCCTATAAATCGTGGAGCCGACTGCTTTATCTTCTGCAGAGTGGCTGGTAAATTGGAACCGCTATCCTTTTGATTAGCAGTCCAACATGTAGCCCACTACAGCACCAGCGCTCCTTACATAGAAATACTCGAGTGTCTTTCCTATTTGCTTTCAGTTACCTGTCTCTGAAATATCACTCCCCTGAATTACTGGACTTACCTTAGCTCATTCATGTTTGGGAAGTTCTTAAATGAGATTCTACCCTTAAGTATAACC